TCCAATTGGAATGGAGGAATCCAGTCATTGCTAAAGTTGATGCTCAAAGAATTAGAAGACATGCTCAACACCCGTAACTTAGATAGTGTTGAAAAGTGTGATTCACTGATAGTCCCATTCAAAGAATTGGAAGAAATATAAATCTCCACAAGGTTTGACAGTAGTCTAATACTTTTGGGTATAGCACCGCTTAGTTGAGTCTTGAAAAGTCCCAGCACTCTCAATGAGCGGAAGTTTTTTATCATATCAGGCAAGGGTCCCCTAATTTTATTTTTACCCAAATACAATTCTTCCAAGGAGAGTTGTAGACATCCAGATAAGTTACCAATGAGTTCAAGAGGCATTCCATCAAGATGGTTATCACGTAGGCATAGATACCTTAATTTGCACAGGTTCCCAAAGGACTTTGGAATCCCCCCTTCCAATTGATTATTCCAGAAAAATAGCCCTTCTAGGAGAGTCATCCGACTAAAAGTTTCTGGAATTGGACCTCGAAATTGATTAGAACTCAAGTTGAGACTAACAAGGCTGTTGCTAAAGTTGAACAACCATTGGAATGTGGAAGCAGTCAAATTGTTGCTTCCTAGATCAAGGTGAACGAGAGAAGTACTAGAAGTGTTAATTATGGGGAAATACAGGGGAATGACATCTCGAAGATTACATCCATCTAGAGACAGGTTAGTTAGATGAGGGAGCTTATTAATTACTTGCAGCCAGTCATTGTTGACCTTACTAAGGTCATTTCCACCCAGACGAAGGTACTGCAAGTATGAAAGATGATAGAGCCACACAAGACTTTGGATGTTGAATTTGTTATAGCTAAGATCAAGATATTGCAGATTTGTGAGGTTTGCAAGCTGACTAGGAAGAGATCCACTTAGATTACAATAATAGAGATCAAGATGTTGCATTTTGTTGAGTGAACCAATAGACTCTGGAATGTGGCTTAAGTTGAAATTATTCCCACTGAGGCCTAAAAAAATCAAATGCTGCAACTTAAAGAGAGAAGGACTAAGGTTACCTCTTAAGATAAAATGACGGTCATACAAATATGTGGTTAGATTAAGCATAGTGATGTGCCCAGTTGTGTTACTACATTGAACTCCTTCCCATTCACAGCAATTCTTTTTCTCTTCTTCACTGCCCCATGAGGAAAGCCTCCCATGTTCATCAACCAGACCTTGCTTAAATGCGAGGAGAGCTTGTCTTTCGCTCTTTATGCACTTAACTCCATCATCAGTTGTTGTTGAATTGGATCCAATTGAAGTTTGCATATGTAGTAAAACCAGGAGTGCATAGATAAGATGAAGGGACCCTGCACCCAGAATCTTCATTTTGAAAGTGATGAAAAATAAAATCAAAGATGAAGGTGAACCAAAATGAAAGAGTGTATCAGGGAAATATCGTAGACATGTAACTAAGGTTTTTTTGGTAATGTTTGAAGGGTTCTCAAAAGCATTCTAGCTACTTATATAGAACTTCAGCAAAACATATTAAAGGTTGTAGAAGGTCAAATCAAAGAATATTAATTTACCGTAGGTAGAAGGAGAAGATTCAAGATTTCAAGGAAGATACCAGTATAGGTAATATGATTTGTGTGAAATGATTATGTTGCACTCTTGGGCGAATTATTTGGACTACGATTTAATGCACCCTACAATCTAGGTTTAATTATTTTAATTATGATTAAACGCACCATACAATTTTAAGTTTTTTCTTTTTCTTTTTTTTTTTATGTTTAGCATAAACAAAAATTTAAAGCTAAGATAGTCCTTTTTTTATTATTTATTTAATTTCTCATCTTTTCCACTTGCTAAAATCACTCTCATGTCATTTTCTTGTAGTGAATGGAGCGCAAGCATTGTAAGGAACGCCGATGGAAGGAGAGAAATAATGTGAAAGAATTCATGTAAGTTGGCGAGTTCATTTCACTAAACTTAATCTAATATTAGTTTTTCTCCAAAGTATCCTTATTAGTATATAGGAAGTAAGGATAACATAGTTTAAATTTAAAGGGTATTTTAGTAAATTTAAATATTTGATTCATTTGAAAATGTGAAGTTAATTTTCTAATTCCATCAAAGATAAGGTTGAGACTAAACATGTGATGCAATTGGTACAGATGAAAATATCATCAAGACGAAGACTAACGATTTGGGGTTCTTTCAAAGAAAATAAAACCATAGAGACTAAATGTTGCCCAAATAATGTCGTTTGTGAAGAATAATTTATGTGATCGTTTACTTGACATCTTGTGATAATTAATTAGAAGGACCCTATAACCAAAACCATGATTTTTGAAAGTGAAAAGAACAGAATGAAGATGAAGCTCAACCAAACTGAAGACTGTGTCAAGGAAATTTAATCTTTTGTGTTGGTGTTTGCTCAGTACTCAAAACCATTGTGCTCTACTTAAATATAACTGTAGGGAACATCAAAGAAATAAAAGGAGAAAGCATTAATTTAGAATTGGGTGGGGTGAAGATTAAAGGAAGATACCAGTTTGACGAATTTTAATAAAAAGGTAAGGTGGACCTTCACAATTCAACAATACATGCAAAAAAATGAGTTACGAGTATGTGGAAGTTGGAACACGCTCAAGTGAAAGAAGTGGAATACCATTGACTTGTTAACTTAATTACCTACTCGTCCCTCGTGGAAACACAAGTCAATTAACCAACTTTGGAAATCTTGTT